CCCGGTAATAGATATTGAACAAACAAAGAGTATATGGAATAGATACGTTGAGAAGACATTCGATGACGACAGAGACAACAACTAGATAATTATGGAATACGACACAGGACCACCAATCACTCAAGACGAAGTCAGAGCCTTAAAAAAAGCAACCAAAGAAGGTAAAGCGCCAGGGCCCGACAACTTTTATTCAGAATTTCTAAAAATCATGGGAGACAAAGAAGTAAAATGGCTTACGACAAACGTTCAATTCAGATCAAATCCCAGAGAGCTGGTTGAAATCTACATTTATTGCTATACCTAAAAAACCTAATGCAAAAAAATGTGAAGAGTATCGTATTATTAGTCTAATGAGCCACAGTCTTAAGACCTTCTTAAAGATAATACATAGAAGAACTTATCAGAAATGCAAGTCACAGATCTCACGAACGCAGTTTGGATTCAGGATGCGTTAGGTACAAGATAAGCCTAGTTCGCGGTTCAGGTATCATTCCAAAGGTGCAGAGACGTCAAGTGCGATATTTATGTATGCTTTATTGACTACCAGAAAGATTTCGACAAAATCAATCACGATAAGCTCATGGATATACTAAAGGCAACTGGTCTGGATAATAAAGACCTTCGAGTAATCAAGAACATATACTACAACCAATCAGCAACCATTCCTGTGAAAGACCGACTAACAGAGAAACTTGCAATAAATAGAGGAGTACGACAGGGCTGCATACTCTCTCCCCTATTATTTAACATCAGATATGCAGACGACACCATCCTCTTTGCAGACAGTCTAGAAGGTTTACAGATACTAGTAACGCAGTTGTCGAGAATCAGTCAGGAGTACAGGCTTGATTTTAACATCAAGAAAACCAAGTACATGGTCATCAGTAAGAAGCATATTCCACCCAGACAATAACTGGTAGATCAGCAACAAATATTCCAAGTGCCCCGTTACTACTATTTAGGAACCACCAATGGGACCACTCAGTTGAGATAAAACAGAGAATTGAAAAAGCCAGGTCAGCGTTTGTCAGAATGAGCAAGATATTTAAGAGCCACGACCTGCCCTTAAAAACAAAAATCCGTTTATTGAGATGCTACGTGTTTACAGTGCTGCTCTATGGGGTTGAATCATGGACACTAACCGAGGCATCCATGGGAAAACTCAGAGCGTTTGAGATGTGGTGTTATAGACGGATACTGAGGATCTCCTGGGTGGACCGAGTAACAAACATTGAGGTTCTACGTCGGATGGATAAGACATGTGAAATTATATCCACAGTGAAACAGCGCAAGCTAGAATATCTTGGACATATAATGCGAAACGACCATAGAGGGGACCAAAAAGAAGAAGAATATCTTGGGCTCCAGAATTTACGAAAATGGTTTTCCTTAATCACTTCAGGACTATTTCGAGCTGCGGTCAATAAAGTTAGAATTGCCATGCTAGTTGCCAACATCCGTAACGGATAGGCACCACAAGAAGAAGAAGAAATATCAAAAACAATAAAAATTCGGAAGTTAGAATATTCGACCATGTTATGAGACATCCAGAAAGGTAAAACCTTCTAAATCTCATAATATAGGGCAATATCACCGAAAGAAGAGCCATAGGTCGAGGAAGAATATCGTGGCTCCGAAATAGAGTGGTATCACCAGACATCCACTAATATATTTTGAGCTGCATTGATATACACAAAGATATTATTTTCAATTTGATCGCCAACGTTAGATAATCGGACAGGGTATAAAAAGAAGGAAGAACATCAAAGTAGTAAGTGGGCACTCCAATGTCCTGTCAGCCATCTATTTATACAACCAACCACTTGATATTTTAAGCTACATGATCCCCTAGACATACCTCTTCTTTTCTAATGTCAATGATATGGGAGATGGTTCGAAATATCTCTTCAAATTTCATCTGTGATTGTGTTTCGTCTACGCTTAGACGATATTGTCCTCGACATTTATGTATATTCGTAAACAAAACTGAGCTTGCGATTGCAAGACATCCTCTTATTTTGTCGTGTACGTTTTTACCTAAAATAAAGTCCTATCAAAATTGTCTTGTCATATACTGGAAGTCATCGTTTTCCTATATCAATAGTATCTGGTCACCAGCGAATTATAATGTATAAAGCTCTGTGTTGGCCAAATATTATACCCATTCTGTGGCACTTCTTTTTGAAATTTATTAATCCATATTCAATATATATTATAAACAAGATTACAAAATAATATAGACCATAAACAAATCAAGCAAGAAACATCAGCCCTAGATATCGATGTCGTCAAAAATGCTATTATTTCAATTAAACTATAAAAACATTTAACGAGAAACGAAAATTTATGGTAGACTAGAACAAAAGGAAATTAAAAACGCTCAACTAACTGATTATTAATATATATTCTGAATGAATAGTTATAAAAAATCTTAACAAGAAAAGGCGTATATGTTTATGGAACTGTTTAAATATAAAATCCCCTATGAAGTCAGAGATTATCTCGGAAATGATTGCGATTTTATATATTTTTATAATTATGTAATATTTATATTCGTTACTCATGTTCTACAAAATTGATAATCCCTGTTCATAGTATTGTGTATTATTATGTATTAATCAGTAATCAACATTATTTAAGTGCTAGAATTGAAGACATTAAAAATAAATTGGTTGGAACATTAGTGGACGTAAAAGATGTCATAAATTTAATATAAAAATAATTTGGAAAAAATCGTTATCATGTAATATGTGTTATATATATATATTATAAATAACGTGTTAGTATGGTGTATATTTTATTTTAAATAAAATCTTATTACCTGAACATTTTTGTGAGACATTGTTAAAAGACAAAGAGTTACTTCCTATTGAATGATTTTTATTTTGTGATTTGCAATGTAGTAGATTGTAGACAGATCTTTTATTTATATATTTTTTGTGTAAATTTGGATCTTTGCTTTAACAGGTATTTAAACCTCTCAGTTTGATAGTTTTTTGAATACTGAGGGTGTGTTGATCCCCTTCAATGTCTTCTTCGATTTTTCTGGACAATCTTTGTCGCACCAGAAGCTAGGTATTGATGAACTATTCCGGAAAACGAGCGCATGGATTGAGAAGATCAATGGCCGTTTTCATCAGATTTGTTGATTATTAAACTTGTTTATAAGGAAGCTGAGCGGTTGGTTATTGAGGTTGAGATTTAACACCTTGCTTGTTTGAACATTAAAATTAATTTTCTTAAAGTTTTTCTTTATTTTTTTAATGCTAAAAGAACATTTTTTTAAATGCTAAAAGCATTAAAAAAATTGAAAAAATAGATAAGGTATTGAAGAAAATAATCTAAAAATCTTTATAGCTGAATGTATTCGCTATAATTTAAAAAAAAATCAGCGGTTGAAATGCAGTGTTCGTATTTTAAAGGGTTTATATTTGAAAGTTTACCGGCTAACCTAGCTGCTGAAACGGTTTTACTAAAAATTGAGTGCTAGACTAACATTCATCATTTCAAATGGATTAGGATCTATTGTGTCGATCAGTTAATTTAGGTGCCTATTTACATATCGCATTTATTTTGTGTAAATTTAATTCTCGAATTGGACCCCATGAAACCACGGTGTTTTCAATTAAAAAATCATGATTATGAAGATTATTACACACTTAATTACGTGAGGAGGGTCATAATTGAAAAAAAAAAAAATGTAGACCAAATTTACACAATTTAGGGATTGTTCGTTTACCATGTTCGTTGAAAATAGCGATATATTTTGCATTAAAGTGTACTTAAGATTTGCAATATTTTTGCAAACATCTAAGTTTGGCAATTGTATGTCAGATATTGGTGGATTATAGCATTTTTAGCTCATTTCTTTTGTTCGTCACCAAATAAAGATATAATGGAGGGTGGTGGGTTTTAAACTAGGATTTACTGAAAGTTTTGATTAAACATGGTATAATTAAAGACAAAATGCTGTGCCGATGTGGCAACAGTTGCGAATTAACGCAGAAATTAAATTTAAGAGTAATAAACTTGTCTCCCAAGACACAGAAAATAAACCCAAAAGGTATAAATTTAATCTAGGCAAAGAAATGGACCTTTTTGAAAGTGAGTAAATTGCCAGTAGTGAAAATACTTATGTTGGTAAAAGACGAGTTCGAATTTCTATTCTACTTGTTTTTTTTTTTAAGACAATGGTTAACTAATAGTAAGTTTTTCAGGATTACATTATGAAACACTGTATCAAAATTAGAAGACCTGTTTGTTAAGATTGCATACAAATGTTTATTAAGGTAGGTAAGCAATTTTCATTAAATTTTTAGATCTCTTGAAGGTTAAACGTGGCAACAATTTCGAATGTTCATAAAATTTAACTTCTTGCGCCTGACCGCCATATTGTTTAAAAATATGAAAAATCTTGATTATTTTAAACAATATTATGTATTTTTTCATAATTTAATGATAAAAATCAATGATATTTATTATGATTTAATTACGTTTTTGTATTAGGACGAATATAAAGTTTTCTTTGCCTTTTCCGTATTTTTTTTTTGTTTAATAATACTTTTTTTTATTTTTTGTGTATTTTTTTTATTTTTAAGCACTTTCACTAGTTTCCAGCAAAGAAACCTTTAAAATTTGAGGTTTTTTTTTTCACTTTTTTGGCAAGTATACAAAAAATTGGGCATATTTGGGGCTTTGCGTCTTACTAAATAATTACCTGACGTTTATATGGCACTCACTATGTTAAAATAAAGTTTCTCCTCGGTACAATGTTACAAATTTATTTGACTAAATAAATTATAGATAAAATAAATTTGTCCAAAAAATATTCCATTACTCCTACAAATTTATGTTTTTTCGATGTTTGTATTTTGGAAATTATTTGCGAATCTCCGTTGGTAGCGCCACTGAATATTATGCTAACAAGATTCCACCGAGGTCAAGAAATCAAGACGACAGTCAGAAATCGGTAGGTGATAATACAAACAAGAGTAATGTTCTTAGTTAAACATTAACCAACAATCATGGTGTTTCCAAATTGGCTGTGCTTTTTAGTGTTAATTAAAGTAGTATGTGAAGCGTACGAAATTCCAAAAGTAAAGTTCGAGGCATTTTCGCCTTCTGGATTCAAAGTAACATTACCAGGTAATATTTTATAATAGTTTTCATAAATGCTTACAGAATATTCTAAAAGTTTATTTGCTTCTATTTCTTAGTTTATTTTTGTTATTTATGAGGCCTGATTGATTAGCCATGTAGTCCATTTTCGAGTTTTTGATTATAACTTAAATATTGTGAGCGACACACGCACAAATCCTTAACGCATTCTGATTAAAGCATGTTCTGATATTCTGAAAGCCTTGTTTCTGACAATCGTAATTTTTGTATAATTCTTATCATCGCATTGTGTTGAATATTTTTTGCTTCAGTTTCAGGTTATATTTTCAGCATTTGTCTGTTATTTATTATAAAATTTGTTCGTTCGAAGTGTGTCCTTTTAGTAAATAGTTTGCTTTAGTTGTCGTTTGTAACAATTCATCCCTTACACTTTTTGTTTATTTTGTAGTTCATTATTTCCCTTATTCTTTACTTTGAGATTCCTGTATCCTTTTAATACCATCTTATTTTATCATTCAAGTTTTTTAAAAATCCGTGTTTTGAGAACTACAAACTTTTACTACTGAGTATTATACACTAATTTTGATTTTCTTATTAGCAGGAAGGCGTAAATACTTTTGTTTTTAAATCTGCTATATTCTGTTTGAAAATTATTGAAAGTTTTTGACACAGCGGGTACTCCGTGAAGAAGAATAAATTTTAAAATCATTTGAAATTTTGTTGTCTCAAATGTTGTAGTAATTTTAATAAACCAATAATGTGAATACCTACATAATATGTTTAGGCATAAAATATTATCATAAAGAAGTTTTTTAGAAAGAATTAACATTTCCAGACAAAAATTTCTCCTTCTCAATTGAATCGGTGAGTGGAAAAACGATATAACTCCAAAATCATGTATTTGAGATAACCTGAAAAAACTGTTTATTTTAAAAAGTATACATTACACAAGAAATATGTAGGTACATTGCAAGTTGGAAGACAATCAAATTCTTTAAACGAATGTAAAGAAAAAATTTATTTCTGTTTTTTAATAAATGACATGCGCCCAAAAACGTCATTTGGAGTTAAACCGTGTTCCACTCAACATTAAAAATGCGTTGAAATATTTACGTTATTAATAAAATAAAACAACAAATTTAAATAACGTGTATTATTTTCAAGATATTTGGCCATAAAGTTTTTAGAACGTAAAAGCATTATCATTTTTGAAAGGACCGAAAAGAAATGGTACTTATTGGTCTTCCTGAGTCGCCTCAGCGTCAACATTGGTAGTAGTCTTCAGAAGTATATAAGAACTTAAATCACAACTCCATAGTTATTCTTCCACCGGATTACATATTGTATTTTTTATTAATTTTTGCAATTCACAAAAATAATGCGTCAGAAAAAAACAATGGAAAACCAAAAGATAAAACAGGATACGGACATCTATTTCTTAAAAATGTTTGGTCAATATTCTTTATAATAGCGTTTATTAGTCAGAATTATCATATCGCCAATTAAATTAAATACAATCTACTAATGAATTGTTAGCAGCACAAGAATATTACGAATATAGTAATACTGTATTTATTAGAAATTAATTTGCAGGAAATAGTGTCCAGTGTCACTGAATGAGGTTAAACTTATCTTATCGGCCGGTGGATGATGTTCAGGTCCACTTCCTGATTTTAAAAAAATGCGTTATCAGTATTTTTCGTATTCGGTTCCTATCCACTATTTCAACACTTGTCGGCAACCAAAATTCTTTTATTGGTCGAATTTTCGACACGTTTGAAGAGTTTCCTGAGTACACATTTTTTTTAATTATTGTCTTCTATTAGATTCATTCTCAGATTCGACAACAGCACGTTGTGTGAAGTAAATGTGTGATAAATCTTCACCTGATTTTTTTTTCAATTTTCTAGAGAAGTACCTAGTGAGAAATGAATTTTAAACTATAATTTCGCAGAAAATAATATAAGAACAGAAACTCCCTACAGTACAAAAGAGTATTCAATAAGTAAGTTTTAAAAACATTTTATTATATTAAAAACCAACATACACTACACAACATTATTAACCAAACTACATACATAATAGGTTTTGTTATTTCCCTATTGCCTTGCCCTATTTTAAAAACACACAACTATCGGAATTCCGGTTCTTTGCCAATTGATGAGGTAGGTACTCTTAAGCAAATTGAATGCGGCGTTGCTTTTATTCAAAAAAGTTTAAAAAATTAAGAAACCAAATTAGATAAGTTATTAACAGTGAAAAATAAATGAAAAAGAGCGACTCAACTTATGACGGTGATAAAAGAAGATAAAGTATAAGTCAAGAAGATGAAGCATTCGAAAAAAGCAGAACGACATCAACAACACCACAAAAAGAGCCTGCCACAGAAAAATTAGATAAACTATTAGAACTTATCATCATCATCATCATCAATTAGCCTATATTTGTCCACTGCTGAACGTAGGTATCCCGTAAAATTTTTCACCTATTTCTATCTTCAGCATATTCTTGCATCCAGTTTGTGGTGATGCGCTTGATATCATCCGTCCATCTAGTCGGTGGTCGTTCTTTGCTTCGATATGCCTCCTGCCTTGGTCGCCATTCCAGAATCTTGCTGGTCCATCTATCATCCGTCAATCGGGCAATATGTGCGGCCTAAGCCCATTTAGCCATGGCTATTTTTTCAACTGCATCTGTGATTCCTATTCTTTTTATTTCTAGATCTGGTACTTTATCTCTGATGGTAATACCTAATATTGATCTTTCCATAGTGCGTTGTGTAACTCTTATTTTATCTTAATTACTATTAAACTGGGAATAAGCCACAATTAAAGATAAAAATACGTTTATTTACGTTTCAATTTCCACTTCGGAAATCGTTCTCAAAATACAAACAGTAAATTAAACAAATTTTGTTCTCTATCAGATATTAAAACGCCTTATCACCCTATCTGAGTCCACGTTCTATTCGAAACTTCTTGGTATCTTCATTAAGCCGGACACAAGCTGTACCAGTTTCATAAATACTTTTAATCAAGGCGATATTAGAACTTATACATGACAGAAATAGAGATAAGCGATATAAAAAAATGATATGAAATAATGAGATGACATCATCTCTACCCACCTGTTGAGGTTTTTGGTTTCTCTTCTGCGCCGGTTTTTCTACGTCCAACTTGTTGAAATGCCATAATGGGGACTGGCAATTATTGTCGAAGACAATAATTTGATGACAAATCATTAATTTTGCCGGTATAAGCGGCATTAATAATCATTAATAATCATATTAATAATCATTCAATAATTTTACTATGAAAGGTTTTGTGTTTTTAACCACATCGGTTTTTAACTAGAACTTCGGGAAATAGTATGGAAAAAGAGAGAAAAAATAAAAAGAGAAAAACTTCACATTGTGGTATTCCAAAGCAAATAACCATGAAAAAATGTTTTGAGTTGTGAATTTTAGACAAATTAGTGAAACGACATACTACGCCAAAGACGTCAATGCCAAAGTTGTAAAAGAGGAAAATAATAGGGAGGTTGCAGGAAAAGAAATAATTCACGAAGAAACGAATGATAATGCAACTTAGCTTTGGTCACACATTGCATTACACACATTGTAAGTACAGAATTCGGATATTAAAAATAACATAAAATAACATGGCTCCTTTAAGGCCAAAGAGAAGGTAACTAGATAGATTATGTATATATATATTCAGGGATTCTACAGTGTTCACTGCCTACTCACGCTCAAACCGTTTCCCATCTCTCTCTGTTGTTCCATTCTCCATCGTTTAGACCTCCATTACTCATGGCGCCATCTACTTCGTTCCTCCATTATCTTCGGTGTCGTCCTCTTTTCCTCCTTTCTATATGGCTCCATTCGTTATTCTCTTTATCTATCTTCTGCCGCTAGTTCTTCTTACATGTCCATACCACTTTAGTCTTTTATTGTTCTATATATGTTAGTATGTCATTGCTTTATTTTGTCATTACTTCTCCTATCCATTCTTGTTACTCTGCAGCATCTTCGCAGGCATTTCATTTCCGTTGCTATTATCTTACTGCTGTTTTTTTTTGTAATCCAATTTTCAGCCCCATATGTCATAGTACTTCGTACTAATGTTTTATAAATCTATGTTTTTGTCTTCATATTTAGGTGTCTATCCCATCATACAGAGTTAAGTTGTCGGATTGCTGTTCTTGTTTATCCTAATCTTTGCGTAATTTCTATCTCTGTTGTTGCCTTTTTCGTGATTATAAACCCCAAGTATTTGAATTTATCCTTTCCTTTGATTGTTACGTTGTCATCAATCTGTAGACCTTCTATGTCTTCTTCACTTGTCGATAGGTACTCTGTTTTCGCGATGTTAATATCTAGGCCAGCCTTGGTATATTCTTCTTGTAGTTTCCTTATCATGTAGCTGAGGTCGTCTTGGTCTTGTGCAATCAATTTCCGTACCGGTGCTCCCATGCCTTTGCATTTTCGTTTTCATGTAGTCAAGGCTTTCTCTAAGTATATTTTGCAAAGTGTTGGAGATGTGGAACAACGCTGCAGGAGACCTTTTGTTGTGGTGAAGTCTCCTATGATTCTTGTTCCCACTTTAATGGACACTTAATTTTCTGTATATAGAGCTTTTGTAGCTTCTATGAGTTCTGTTTGTATTTCTAATCTGTACATTATGTAGATTATGTACTTATTTAAAAAAATGGCTAATACCAATAAAATATGTCAGATCAAACAAAGGAATAAACCCTTATCATTACTTTTGTATTACCTACTGGGTCAAATGATCCCGTAACAATTTTCCATGGACTTGTAATCTATAATATCTAAAATGTCTTGTTTGGTCAATAATTCCAATAACGTTGATGAACTCTGTCGCGAACTATGTCACAATAATCTAGAACAAATAATAAGAAGGTCGGCTTGCTAATTTCTATTTTAAATTAAACCGTATTGTTTGTTTATAATATAAACTTATCTATAAATACTATTATTTATATTATAAATGTGTTGGTTTACT